GAGGGGATGATGGAGCGCAGATTTAAGCCCCCCACACAAAATGGGAAGCTGTTAATCAGTGGTGTCAGTTCCCTCCGGCTTGGAGCTGTTGAGGGAACATGATGGAGCTCATGTCAAGCCCCCCCCTCCACTCTGGAGGCTGGGGGTCCAGCTGTCTGTCGCTCAGGATCAGATCCACATCACCACGCCCCCCCCCCCGCCCACTGTGCCACCAGGACAAGCATGGGCACGGGGCAGAGAGTGAGGAGAGGGGGGCTTATGTAAACTGGCAGGAGGGTGGGGGCAAATTATGAATGACGCTGCAAAATATAATATCATGCAGAATTCAATTTGAGCTTTACTGCAAATAAGAATTAACTAAATAATCAATTAATCTGCCAAGTATTTTCTTGTCGGCATCAAAAGTGTTTTATTTTATAGTTAACAAAAACGCTTCTTTCATTAAGTCCAGAGAGCTGAAAGAGTGTGTGTAAAATGAGTCTTAGAGGTGGAGAATTAGATCTTTAAAAGTCTGTATTCTGACTTGCCTTAAGCTGTAAGAAGCATGCAAACAATTGGAGCGTCCCACTTCATCATAACCCTGCACTTTGACCTTCTTGCATATATGTCAGTCGCAGTCCGTTACAGCAAAGTAAGTACGCAATTTGAAATAGAGCCGTCATAAGGTTAACTTATGTCTTTGATCTCTCTGCGGCTCACTCCATGTGATTTAAAATAATGCAGTGATATATTTAGAAGTTTTCAATTACCTAAAGTCCTACAAATTAAGCAGTAAACCTACATTTATGTATCACAGAGAAAGGAAGGAAACCATCATATACAATAGGTCAAAATCTAGAAAACGTAAACCACAAATCTATTATCTTTATACTTGGCAACTAATCTTCTATTGATCAGTTATTGACTAATTGTTGACCCACGTATAAACATAACCTTATGTGTAATTTGGAGTTTGCTGGAACAGTGACATTGAGGCAGGATCCACAGCATGACAACAGATTGTCTGAACGCAGCATTTTAACACAGAAGTGACAGCGTCTGACATCGTCTCTTTGTGCTTTGTAAGGGGCGGGCTGTCAGTTTATATTCAGATCACTGAGGAGATTCAGTTTTAGCAGATTAGGCTTTCAAGAATTTGGAACATAAGTTTATAGAGCTCCTTTTAAATTGGATGTAATAATTTTAATCCCTTCTCTATTCACATCATTAAAGGGTTTTTAGATTTTTAAAGCTTGATGTCTTGACTTTATCTTTTATTCTTATGGAAACAATACTATCCTGCAAAACAGATGCTTTAAATCATATTTTAAATAAAAGGTTATATAATATGTCACACTAAGGCTGCATCTATTCAGTGGAGAATGCAGAGAGCAGCCTCAAGGGAGTGTGCTATGTGCTGTCAAGTTAGATAGACAGGCTCCACATGATGGTTTATTCCACAGTATCTCATGGCAGTGGTCATTTTTAGATATAGAAGTCATGTTAGAGTTCAACCTTTTTGGCTTGTGGCCTTCATAAACAAAGATGTACCTTAAATGATAGCAGCGCGGCTCTGGGTTGGGTGAAGCCAGGATTTCGGTCAATCTTTCCGCCTGAAAAACACAGAAATCTCAACAACTGATGGATGTATTGAAATTAAAATGTGTGACATTCATGATCACCAGATGATGAATCCTGTCGACTAGTGATCCTCTGACTTTAACGGCACCATGTCTAGCAGCATTACAAAAAAAAGCTTTGCATTGCAATGAAATGATGTGCAGATTTTTACGTCTATTGTTTCTGTACTTTTGTTTCTGACCTGAAACCTGGAAAGCTAATGTCATTCCCCACTAGCCTCAAGTGTACTTTAGTGCTAATCAGCAGATATTATGCTAACACATTGCAACCTGGTCTCACCAAAATACGTGAAATGACTACGACCCCTTAACACCGCATTACAAACTAAGATGGTCAACACAAAGCATGAACATGGTGAGCAACGTACCTGCTAAAACATCAGCATGCTAGCATCTTCTTTGTGACCACCGTGCTGTCATTAGCATTTAGCTCAATGTACCATGATGCTAAAAGTAGTGCCTCATATTCATGGATGTAGTCTTGTTATTTCCCCTGTTGTTGCTAATTGTTATGATTTGTATTTTCAATTAAAACCCCAATTTTCCAAAAGCAGTTCCATGTTGTTTATCTGGTTGACAAAATAATGTTGTTTCACTCTGTTGAGGTTCATATTTGCTGCATCTTAATTATGTTGGGATGCAGAGGAGTCACAGGCATATTTTAGAGTCTGATGATTTCTGGAGTGAACATCACAGTCCAGCCTCTTTTAAACATGTATTCAGTGTCAGGTGCACATACTACAGTAATTCAGAATAGAAATGGAACGAATACATAATTTAAAGGAATTAATGTGGCATTACAATGTCCGAGCGATATTGGAAATAAACATTTACTAAACAAGGAAAAAAAAGATTGAAATAAAGTAAAAATGTATAGATTTTATTTATATTCTTAGAGAAGAAATAAAAAAATAAATAAAAGTTGTATAAATACGCATCACAGTAATCGTGTCAGTGTGCCATTTCTCTAGTTGAAATCTGCTCTGGTACCATGAGAGCATTTCAATTCCCTGGAGAATTGAGTGCATAACAGGATAATTGATGCATAACAAACAAGTCCCAGAGGGAACCTCTCTTGTGGGCAGATTCCAGATGGCTAAGAAAGAGCAATTCGGGCTTTAGTCAATACAAGAAATGATGTGGCTGAAATAGTTGCAGACAAATCCATACACATTACACACACACAAAAACACAAACACACAAAAGGTCTGTTAGGTCCCTACCCAGGGTCAAAGGTCGGACGTGTTTTATGTCAGTAACACAGGATTCATCACTGGAAACCAGCCAGGACCTTGCATCCTGAACATTTACTCTGGGGAACCAGGAGACAGATGGTTAATTTAAACACACACAAGTCCAAACTAACAGACCTTAATCCATAGAAAACTGATAGAATCCATAAGAACAACAAGCGGTCAATGGCCTGGCGCTGCGTGCCCATTAATGGTCATAAACACACATTGGTCTGAGCTTACTGCACCTGAATGCTCTTATAAGGACAAGCAGCAGCTGAATGTGTTGACTGTGTGATACAACAGGAAGTAACAAGGTTAACTTGTCATCGGCTCACGTAGAAGACGGCTTCACATGAGGACGCTCCAACATTTGTGAGGTGAATCATCATTTATCACAGCGTACATTACAAAAAGCTAGCTTGTTTTATGATGTACAAAGATGAAACAGTAATTAATAACCCTTTAAGTGCTGGTGTTAGTGCCAATGCTCTTATAATTGTGTAGGTAATTATTGAGCTCTATTAAGGCATGCATTACGATATAATAAAAAAAAAAATGGTAAAGCCTATTTGTGTACACTCCTATTTGATTTACGGCTTTATATTACATTTGAGGTTTAATTCTGTCAAAAAACAAGTGGCACAAACAAAAGGTGACTAAACATTTTGATCTGTGGCGCTGAGTGTCGTTCTATATGTGAAGTCTCCCCTGGCAGGTCCTCTAGTCTAAAGGGCAGAAACACCAGAGAGATGAGGGGCTACAGGACACCTGAGCCTGTGTTTACCCTTTACACACACACACACACACACACTCTAATTTATATTGCATGAGAGAAAGAGAGGCAGTGTACATGGATGGTTATAGGATCCCCCGTCGGGTACAGTGGGTGAATCCCTCACTAACTCATGGTCACACCCTGCAGGCGCTCACTGACAACACTGCTGCCATGTAAATAAATGTGTATTATGTAACATCTGAAGTGCCTTATATCTTTGGGATCCTGCACCAGATAAAAGAAAATGCTAAAAGACTTCACAGGATAAAAAGAAAGTGGGTAATTGCATACACGTTTGATCTTTTTCACCAGAAAAGGGTCGCCGATTTGAATGCAGAGATTAGCATTTTATAAACTGTCACGGTTTCGTGGTATTACATGTTTTATATAAAATTGGATAATGGAGGAATGAGAAAATAACTATAAACATTATTTGTAATGTAAATTATAATTTCAAATGGTAATTTCTTAACAAATGTTTCTCATTTTGTTTCTCTGGTGTTCTTCAACACATTTCCCCCCAGGGTCAAGTATTTGAATTGCATGTAACTTTAACATTTACGTTTTCTTGTTATAATAAATAATGTATTTTGGTTATTGATAATTCATATTTACTGAAAGTGTGTGACCAACAACCAGACTGCTTCTGTCTTTACTTTTAACTCCGTCTCACTCACATACATTTCTTTTATCCTCCGTATTAGTGAAGCAAATATACATCATGATAGCCGTCATGCTTTATACAACCCAAAACAAAGTAAGTCAAATTAATTTTACCAAAGAATACTGCAGACAGCATGATTTTCGAGCTATTTATGACCCACATCAGACACATCATATGGATTGAGCTGCAGACAGTTCTAAGACAAAAGACAACCTTATGACGGCTGCATTTAAAAATGCATACTTTGTTTTCTAAGTTCCAATTTCGCGCTATATTGCAATGGCGATTTAGTCAAGAAGTGATGACGAGGAACTACGCTCTAATTGTTTGCATCTTCATGCTTCTGACAGCAATACCTTTAGTAAGTGAGAATTAAGACTTTTAAATACCTAACTCTCCACCTGGAGGACTCATTTTGCACTCTCAGGACTTAATGCAAGAGGCGTTTTGGTTTTCACAAGGTTAACAAAAAAAGGAAAGAATGTGCACTTTAGACAGCAGCATAACGCAAAAGCTGATTCTCTCACTCAGTCAACATTGTGTTCCAAATGGCCCCTGCATTGTACCTCATGCTGTTCTCCTCCCTCAGCAACCTGGGCTAATGAATAGCGATGAGCGAGGCAGTTTGTACAGCCAGCAGCGAGCGGGTTAGAAACCTGAACCCGACACGTCCGTCTGCTGGGAACACAATAACAAGCGGCACAGGACACATTCATCCAGTGTTTATTAACAGAGTATTTACAGGCAGGGGGACACAGGGACAGCAGTGTGTCGATGTGTGTGTTGATGTGTGTGTTAAGTGTGCAAATCGTTGTAGAGAACATTTGTCACCGCTGCTCTAACTGCTGCCGGGTCCTCAGTATCTGTGGAGGAAAACACAAACGTTAACACAAACACTCACACTGTGTGACAGGATAAACATTAAAAGGGACTTTCTTACCGGTTAAAGCTTGTTCTTCTTTGATAGGGAGGCAAACTGGTGTATTAAGAAAACTACGCATTTCTGAGATTAGAGTCCCAAATTAACGAATAAAAGAATGAAACAATTGTCTAGAGCCACAGCACTTCAGTTTGCTGGTTGAATCAAACTGATCACACCAGCTTGTTGGTTATTATGCCTTTATGGGATTAACTCATCAAATTCAACTTTGCAATTTGATTTATCAATAAGGAAATACTTGTGATTTTAGCCTAGGATCACCATATTATCAGAAGCATTTGCTGCGAATTTGGCGTATTCAGAAGGGAAACGAAACACGAACATAGATGAGTGAGTGAATACGCTGTTGTGCATCAGAAACGATCATACAGTGGACAGATGAAGGATATCTTCCTGTTCCTACTGTCACATCGCTTCACTTCACTGTGCATGTGGCATTCCCTCGAGGTTGATAAAGCTTGCAAATTAAAGCAATCTGGTTCCTTAAGAGTTTTTTTAACGTATATTTGTGACTTTAATCTTGGAAATTCTTTGGAGAGTTTTGTGTCTGAAAATGACCATACATATACTTAAAATGGCCCAAGTATGTCATTGTCAGCTATAGAGAAACTAATCGAAACCAGCTGAACATAGCAGCAAGTGTCTATGTTCAGAAACCTTCCCAGATTATGATGAAGAACTCTTCATCCTCACCCTTTCACTAATGGACTATTTTCAAGGTAAACAAACAGCAGGGAAGAAACTGAGAGCTACTAAGACTGCATATGATATTAAATGCACCTCAAGCCTCTTTTGTCTCGCCTTTTTTGACATTCCCCATTGTTGTTCCTCTAAGATGCAAATCCTAATATCCCATCCTCCTGGTTTTATTTTTTTACTAAAAATGTCTTCTCCTCTCATTATTTTGTACCTGGATTGCAACACCACACATTTTCCACCCTGGGTTAGGTAACAAGCCCATGAAATCCGGGTCAACAGAAACACAACAGGCCCAGAGGTTGAATTATTAACAGAGGCAGCAGGAAGCTCGCTAACACCATCACGAGGCTTCACAACATCAGCTGGAACGTGCATCTTCTCCTACTGAACATGTGATGTGTGTCATCATCGTTTTCTTCCACACTACATGGGTTTCCACTCATTTAGCTTTGCTCCTGTGACATGATGCGGTCCGCTAGCTGGTCATCCATGCAGACAAAAAAGACTAATTTGTATTATAATTCAGATTTCAGGAAATGAACAGGAAATAAATAGCCTTTGTGTGCATTCACAATCATTAACCAACTTATGGACTTAGTGTCTGTCAGGAGGATTGTTTTTGGAAAGAAGCCGGACGGTATAAATGCAATTTTCCAGAGAGCGAAGTGCAAAAAGATAAAGACAGCTTCTGTGTGCTGCCTCTCGAAGAATACTTCAGTCTTTGGATTTAAGGGTTATGAATGAATTAGCTCTTTGACCTTTCCCTGTGCGTTTGTGTTTAGATGTGTTAAGGAGAAGCCAGATAAAACAATATCATGGATAAATGATAAGAAAGATTGAAAACTATGGGGGAAAAAAAGAATTTTCAGCTCAAGACGAGAGAAATCGCTTGTGTTAGTCAATGAAAGCAATGTAGGATTTATTGAAAATGCTTATGGACTAACTTATATATACATTTCAAAATACTAGATTTCTTTACGGCAACCATGGCTGTTCTCTTTTTCTTTTATTTGTTTCCTTTTTCTGATTGTAAAAATGTTTATTTCACAATACTTGTGTTTGTATACACAAAAACCTAATAAATATTCAAATTAAATAAAGGAAAAGAGAATGTCTGAACCAACATTTTATGGCATTGCATCAATAGTTTGAGATATTTCAGATGGATCGAGAGAGAAATAAGTGACCGCATCTAAAGATACTTGTAGTACCATAACATCTAAGAGGAATGGATTGAATGCGAGAACATTGGTGAATATTGTTGCTGCGTGAGACCTCATGCAAGCAGTAAATATCTGTCATGTTGGGACTGTTTTACTCTTCCCTCCTCATTAGTATTCAGGTCAGGGTCTGAGTATAACTGGATGTCTAACTAATTGACTACAAAGAGCCACAGTTAGTGTGTGTCCAATTTAAAACAACAAGCAGAGGAGCTGTCAGGGTGAGTGTGATGAAGGATGCTCCAATCAGAGCTGATCATCTGCCTCATGACTGACTCTACTCACCGACTCCCAGCAGCTTCAGACGCTCTTTAAACTCGGGGTTGTCCTCCAGCACTCGCAGCATGTTGCTGGACTCCATGCGCTCCAGCTCCACCTTCCAGTAGATGTAGATTTTGTGATTGAAGCTGACGTACACCAGACAGGGGCTGTTCTTCCCCTCCTTACAGGTGTACTGACCTGCAGACAGTCACACAGGAGCCTCTTTACTACACATGAAATAAACATTTGACTCAATATGAAGCAGGCAGGGTGGAAATGTTTCATTAGTTTCTGAATGCTATGTGAAGTGTCTTCATATTCATCTGTTTACAGCCCACACATTTATATATTATTAACAAGTGGTATTTTATTCCAATTTAGTTTACTTTTTTCCAGGATTCTTTCTTGCACCATTGTGTCATTTATTTTTGTATATTAAATGTTAAAATGTTGAAAAGCCTGGGACTTAAGATTTCCATTGCCAATAACTACACTGTAGCTAGGGTTCGTATGACACATAAAACTTATTTTATCTTTTGAGTCCTATTATATCCAAGCAGAGAGCACATTTCGCTGTAAGAGATACCAAATGTGGGTTTCAGGAAGTCAGCCACGGGCATATTTTCTGGGAGTTTCCACTGATAAAACCTTTCTGGGCAGAGTTTCAGAGGGCACTGAAAAGTATACATAACACGGATCCACCCTCGGAAATGTCTGCATTTTTTTCAGGCAATGCGTCATCATGAATATGTTTTTGGTATTTTCACATCATTAAGCACTCAAAAGGCCCTAATCCTTTTGTGAACCTACACAATTCAGGAGTTTTTAAGTCAAATAGTGCAGTAGAAAATGTCTGCAGGTGATAAAATGGGGACAGTGAAATGTATGAATAAGAATACTATGTACTAGGTTAGAAAGAATTATATAAAACAGAATGTAAAATGTAATACTGTACAGAGGACAACGCATGGCTGCTAATGTGTCTCTGTGGTAGCTTCCAGACAAACACAGAAAACACCATCCAATCTGCTCTGATGCACACACACACACACACACACACACACACACACACACACACACACACACACACACACACACACACACACACACACACACACACACACACACACACACACACACACACACACACACACACACACACACACACACACACACACACACACACACACACACCCACACACACACACACACACACACACACACACACACACACACACACACACACACACACACACACACACACACACACACACACACACACACACACACACACACACACACACACACACACACACACACACACACACACACACACACACACACACACACACACACACACACACACACACTGTGGCTTGTTCAAACACTGCAGAGATATTTGAAAAGGACAGAGAGAGAAAAGAAGACCTGGGTGAAACCAAAGCAAAAGACGCCACCTACTGGTGTCTGATATTACTGCAGAGAAGCTAAATGCATTTATTGCAATAATAACCCAGATATCTGTTTTAAATGTGGAATGTGCAAGGGAACATGTTTCCATTGAGTTAATAAGATAAAAACGTTCTGGGAACATGTCACATTTATAAAAGAAGATGCAAAGATATTATTAATACAAAGAACTTTGGAGTCAAAGGTGTTCTTTTTAGGTTGTTATCCAAAATAACATAAGTAACAGAATGTCATTGTATTCTTAACTTAGAGTTTATATGTTTGTAAATTGATAAAGTTATGTTTATAGTATATGTTTCTTGAAAATACAAGCCAGATAAGGTTTTCCACTGTACTTATTGAAATGTACTTGCAGTATTCTTGCCTTTTGGTCTTGGTTGCATTAAAGTGCCAGCTTAATGAAATGTAATGTAAAGAAATGGTAAGACCAAAGGGTGTGGTATGCTGTACACACTGTAAAGTCACCTGAGGTAAATGTTTAATTGGTGATTTTAGGCTGTTTAACATTTGATTATAAAAACAGAAATATGATTAGGTCTCTCACCCGCACAGAAGGCGTTGACGTTCTCGTCGAACTGGAAGCGCACCGCGGTCCGGTTGTGGTCGATGATGTATGTTTGACCGTCCCAGGCACACGCCACCACCTCCTCTCTGCCGTCTCCCTGACAACACACACATCCTCGCCATGATTATCTAAACAAGAAGAGCCTCTCCAAACTACTTGAAATTCTGATGTTAATTGGTGATTGAACAATCACTATTAAAATGTGATTAATCGTTAAAGAGGAATTAAAGTGTTTAACTGCCCTCTCAGAAAGGTTTAAGCCTCTGAGTGGTCACATGTGTGCTAATAGCGGTGTCAGAGAATAAAACTCTACATAACTGCAGCAAGGGGAGGAGTGAAAACAGCATTAATAAGATTTTGACTGCTGTTAAAGTCTATTTTAAATCAGAAGTTGAAAATAATTGTATCTTAATTCACACGGACTCACTGTGACGTCGAGTTTCTGCAGAGCGAACAGCTGATGATCCACCTGGACCGACCACAGCAGCTGCTCCGAGCTGTCCATCAGCTTCAGGGTGCCTGGAACATGTTAAAAGAGAGGTAAGTATAATATAAAAGCAGTTTTTTATCATTTTGTATGTGCATCTATTAGAAATAAAGAATACGTGAAGAACTCCCAAGTATGAAAAGAGTATTTAAATGTACAAACATTTATTTTCAGCCCTGAGAATAAGTTTGTTTTTCTTCAAATACAAAATGTTGTTTATGACTTCTTTTAGACATCAAGAGCAAGGTCCATATGTCTCTGACTTTTAAAACTACACATCTATAATTATGGAGCTAAATGATTCTTAAAAAAGGACACAGGAGAACTAATTTAACCAAGTCCACTTCTGTTTCCTCTGGTAATGAATCTTCAACCTGAAATGGTTTTATAACTCTCTCTCTCTGCGATGGCTCATCATGCTGTCAGTGAGATGGAGTTGTGAGCGTATTATATTGGCAGCCAAAGTCTGAAGTGATGATAATCCCACTGGATCCTCTGCTTTAAATATTGATGCAGTCTCCAGCTGGAGGATCTACACTGACAGACACTGGTGTGTGCAGGGGGGGGGGGTACCATAAATAGCATCACTACTACTGCAAATACAGCAAGAGGCGCACAGACAAATAGCTCCTATAGAGTCAGAAGGTACATTTTGCTAAACAAAAACCTTTTTAGATTAAGGTTCTTTCATATGTAGATTATAAAAAGGGGGAAATATATATTGTATATTTTGAGAGGAGTAAACATGAAGTCATACATATTTAAGAGTAACTCATTGATTGGACAGTTTTCATGCTTGTTATCCTGCAGAATCAACCCCATGTGAAGTGAGGAAAACAAATATGTAGACTAATGGCCAATTATGGAGCAGATGAGTGGGCATTATGTGTCTATTTAAGGGCTTCAAGTAACTTTTTTTCCATAAATGGTTAATCTGTAGGTTTTCTATGTTATTGGATTAATTATATGGATAATAAAATGTCTGAAAATAGTAAACCATGTCTATTCCAGTTACTCAAAGTCCATGGTGATGTTTTTTCATTTCTGTTTAGTCACTACAAAACCTAAAGTTATTCATATTCATTATCATTAATAGTTGAAGATAGTTTTTTAGTGGATGTACTAATCAATAAGTCAACTTATCATTGTAGCTTTATTATTTATATTCACCCGTGTGACAAACAAATGACAAAACCAAATCAACTCAATAGTCACATTTACCAGAGTTCATTTGAACTGAAGTAGCCAGGTAAGGAAACATGACAAATATATTCATCTTATAGCCATCTTAAATGAATGACTTACCATCTAACGTACAGAGAGCAAACAGCCCACATTTAGACGACTCCTCTTTTGAACCTGATGAAAAACAAAGAAAGAAATGTATAATAAGATTATGGTTGCCACTCTTTAAGTGATTTATATTAAGTGTAGTTTATAGTAAAGGAACATATAGATGACTAACTGGCAGTACTGTTCAGTACCTTTACTGATGCTGCCGATCAGGTGCGTGGAGACATTCTTGTTGTGTATCCGCCCGGTGGACAGATGGAGAACAACATCTCTGGAGGGTCCCTCACTGTGAGCAAATGGAAATGAAAGCATGTTTAATATCAGTTTCTCAAGTCTACACCTCTCTAGCTTTTGTCTGAACAGTGTCTACCTCCCGGGGGTGGGGGGGGCCTCCTCCCCCGAGCTGCAGGAGTCCTGCTGGGTCCAGGAACACAGCAGAATGGCGTACCCGCAGCCGGGCTGAGACACCATCAGCTCCGGCAGACCCTCCGGACCAGGGTTCACCGACAGACTGTCCACCTGCACCACAGACAGTACAATAACCACTGAATGTATCTTTGATGGAATGGATGGTAAGATAATAATAGTACAGGATCAAAAAGTTAAATAATGTCCAAAACTAGTTAAAAAAGCCCAGGGTGATGTCTTCTATTGATTAAATAATTGACGGTTAGTACACAATCCAAATGCTTTTAATTCATTTAGGATAGATGCATCCAAAATGTGTTCCACTGTAACATAAGTCCAACATCTTCTCATGTTTAAAATACTAAATGGAAAAAAAATACATTTATTTAGTTAGTTTTTGATTGCTTTGAAAAAAATTGTATTTAGACGTTATAAATATGTTGAATGAAGGCATGACAAAATTATACTGTCCTTATGAGTCTACTGACATTTGATAAATAATAAATACTGTTGTGTTAACTACCAGCCCTTTATCCATTTAGTATACAGCAAAAATGTTTGTCTAATAAGTTCTCTGACTGTACCATATGTTCTATTAAAAAACTATATTACGCCGTTTTAAGGTTTGCCCCTTACATTTTCAGTCACCATATGTTGAGATAATAATGAGATGTAGTGTACCTGCCCCTCCAGAATCCATTTCTTTAGCAGAACCAGCTGACCGGTTCCCGTCTCTGAGCCCTCAGTCGGCTCCTCCCAGCGGAACGCTCTCACCACCCGGTCTGTGTATCCCACCACCAGCTCATTGCGGCCATCTCCATCTACAACACAGACACAATCTGTAGTCAGACTCACAGAGCAACACACACTTAACAAATAACATATAAGAGAGTTATTTACCAATATCGCTTATGAGGATGACTTTAGTGTTGGCGGGAATATGTTGGGTGAAGAGGGGCTTCTGGTCATCTGGGGACATGAATTCATGCTGACTGGATGAATCTGATTTACTAGCAGAGGCAGCTGTCAGGTCGAAGAGGTGGAACCAGCCCTCCGCACCAACGGCCACCACAAAGTTCTGACAAATAGAGAGGAGAGCACAATGTTAGGAACATAACCCACAAAATATTCACAACAATCTGCTGCTGATCATGTATCACTTTATAACTTACCCTTCCTTTGTTGCACACATCTCCAACTGCAACACAGGTCAGCTGGCAAAATAAGACACATTTTTATGAGAGAAAGAAATACACTTTATTAAACCATAAACGTTCTCTGGTTTCTGTACTGACCATGCCCACACAGGTTCTTGTGATCCAGGGTTTGGAGTCATCGTTCTTGTACACAAACAGCTTCCCGTTGGTGTCTCCTACAACCAGCTCGTTCAGCTGCAGTGCATGGAGACAGAACGCACATTTGTTATACTGGTACAGCATTATGTGATTTTAATAGGGGTTTAGGTCCTGTTTAAACCATGTGTTTCAGGTGTTTTATCAAGGAGACAAAATCAATATCAAAAGCTGCATGGACACTGAAATAACACTCCCAAAACAATACATTGAGTAAAGCTATGACATTTTGACATTACATATTCAGGTGCATTCACCGAAAAGGTCAATATGCAGACTAAACCTCTTTTTTTTTTTTTAAAGAGTGTGGGTTTTATATCAAGTACTAGCACTATTAATGTACATCAGCACATACAAATAAAATGGAGGGCTATTTTTTCCACCACTATTCAATATTGGTTAAGTGGTTAATATGTTGGTTACAAAACATTCAAAAAATTGAGAAAGAACTTAATCAAAGTGTCATATAGCCAAAGATAATGTCTCACAATTGCCTTTTTGTCAGAACAGCTGTGAAAATGGTTGTTAAAAGTGTTATAACAAGAATGTCAAGACAAGAAAAAGGGACACATTTGTTACAAACAGAATATTGGTCCAACTAGGAGGCCTTCAAGTACTTATATTTTCAACATTTCAAAATAAAAAAGTAAGCTTCTAAAGATAAAACATCTTGATAGCCTACCCTACTCTATGCAGAGAGAACACCTTATGTGAACAGTGCATTCAAAGTATTGCAGTATCACAGCTTTACACCAAAGCAAATCATTTTAGCATTTAAGCATCGTTCGTTCGTTTGTTTATGTTGCTCGATACCCACAAGTAAACACACTTAATTTCAGCTCTGGGTGTTAGTGATCATTATAATTCACAAGCAATAAACAGATTCATCTTAAATAAAAAAAAGTCATATTACTTACCGAGTCGTTGTCTGCATCTCCCAGACAGATAGCATGAGGAAACAGAGTCCCTGAAAAGTCCAAGCTGACACGTTGGACGTAGTTTAAAGATCGCATATCTTCTAATGAAAACTGTATTTAAAAAATCACCTTAAACATGTGGACAGCTGCTGTTTACATTACAGTTAGAAAAGGCAAAAATAGTTCCTGAGTCTCAAAGCTAGCTCAGCTAACTTTAGCTCATATGTTAAGGGGCTAAAATTAACTCTTGCTTCCTATAAAGAACGAGATATAACACCGCATTTGTACCTAAATGCTTCCTTTAATATATGTGTTGAATTGGTGCTAAGCATGGATGTTTAATAGTTGTATAGTGGCTCGCTACTTCCTCGTAAACAAAATCATGTGACCTCAGAAAGTACGGCAGCCCAGGAGAGACCAACTGTCTCTTTCGCAAAAATTAGCCCGGTTATTCTCACAAAAACGTGTTCTTTATTACATTCTATGGATGATAGACACATTAAAAAATATCCATGCCATGGCTAACACTTCGAATTTGTGGATTCTTAATTCCCAACACATCCAGAGTTGTTCTTTTGCAACAACAGATTTGGATTATTTTCCAAAACCATGTTCATCATTTATTTTGTCCAGTGCAGGAATTGATGAATCTTTAAAAAGAAAAAATGTTTTTTCATTTATGTATCAATCTTTTAACACTCATATTTCTACTATAACTTTGTTTGGAAGTACAGTTTTGCAAACTAGGGGGAACGTTGTATTTTACTCCCAGTGTAGAGCCACTGTTGTCCTCTAGAGGGAGACGTTCAATCACAACTTTATTGTCAGGCAGAAAACAGCTCACTTTAACATCAGAGATGAGGCAGGGGTCCACTATAAATTGGTATAATGTTGGTTCTTTGGGAAACACCTGGACATTGACCTCCACCATTTATTTCTTCACACTTATTCTTGTTATAGGTGATAAACACAAAGTATACCTGTGCCCTTATATGAATGGTGGGAAAAACGAATAACAAGCTGATCACAAAAAAAGTGAATTGTTACTTGTAAGTAAAACTTATTTTAGATGATACTGTAGACCTATGAACATACAATTCGTCATAAAACAATTGTAATTCTGAAATGTAGACTCAAAGATCTAATATTCGTATACAAAAAGTACTATATTTACAATTTACCGCTGCAAAAGTTTTTTATAACTTTTGTATAATAGTTCAAACACAGATGCATTTATTATGTTAGATAACAAGAGTAACTGCCTTAACATAATGCTAAATAGTCTCTTAACAAAATCCATAACTAATGGTGCCCTTGCAGAAAGAAAACAAAACTATTTTAATGACAATAAATTGAAGATTATTCCTCACATCACACACAAATGGATGATATGGGTACTTATGAGTTTTTTGTTTTATTGTCTCCACACAGCATGAACTCCATAAAGAAAAGAGAAAAAGGTGGTTAAAGGAGAACTCACGCGCCAGATGGTCGTATTAATTATTACACTCAGCTATACTGGAAAGCCCCTCAAGAAGTTGAAGAAGAACAGAGATGAGGGGGGTGAGAGAGGATGAGAGAGAGAGAGAGAGAGAGAGAGAGAGAGCGATATAGTGATATTGTAGCGATATATATAGAGAGACGAGAGAGAGAGAGAGAGAGAGAGAGAGAGAGAGGAAAGAGAGAAAGAGAGAGAGAGGGAGAGAGAGAAAGAGAGAGAGAGAGAGAGAGTCCTCACAAAGCGCTAATTGGACTCTGGAAGAACACTGACAGGGCATGGATAGGTTTCAGAAAGCCGGGCGATGGTGAAGGGGTGCAGGGGGAGGCTGAATAGAACCCACGCTTCTTTTCTAAACTCTCTTGCTGGGCGAAAATAAGGGGGCGAGAGGGAGAATACGGGGGGAGGGATATAAAAGAAAAGTATTGGTGGGGTGTGCGGGTGCGTGTGTGTGTGTGTGTGTGTGTGTGTGTGTGTGTGTGTGTGGTGTGTGTGTGTGTGTGTGTGTGTGTGTGTGTGTATGTGTTTTAGGGGGGGGGGCTTGGGGGTTCCTCAATGCAAGCTTGATTTTGAATGCCACTGAAAAATTGCACAATTTATTACAATCCCCTCTCGCACAGAAATAAAGAGGGGCAGGGGGAACAGAGGTCATTTGCGCGCGCGCAGAAAAACACTTGCACACACACAGAATATACTCACGCACAGAAATACACACACTGATAGAGAAGTACTACAGAAAGTGAAGCGAGCTGGTATTCTCTGTCACTGCACTTACACGCATCAAACGGGCACGCGCAATCACACGCACATATGCAATAGTTGTACACATGCAGGGAATGCCTTGAAACGCGGATTGGTAATGCGCAAAAACTGATCAATTACGCAAAAACTGAAAAACAACTAGCCTAATTTTTCATGCGTTATAGAGCTTTCTACACATACACGGGCACAAACACACCCACACACACAGACACGCGCACATACACACACATAAAACACACTGAAAAAAGAGAGGGTAATACAGTTTGGTCTTGGTTTTGTTCCGCGCTGACAGACGTGTTTTATCATTGTGCACTTTTCAAAGCGACAATAATGGACAGAACACTCCGCGTCCACGCTACAGTAACATTATCGAGTGTATCAAATCATACACAAAGCCCCTCCCAACAGCTTCTGAGGGCCCCTCCGCAATTCTGCGCCCCTCCGTTCCGCCTGTTCCAGGCAAAGGAGCTGCTCTAATCAAAGTGGAAAATTCGGCCTCTGGTGCACAATGGTCCTTCAAATGAGCGGTATTCAGACGCGACTGTAATGTTAACAATAAAATTAGACCGCGTTTGAGTTGAAACGCCAGCGAGCATCTGATTTACATAGAGAGCTCTCAGAAAAACTCCAGCATGAGGAGCGTGGTGGTGGAGGATGTAAAATCTGGATGTTTCGCAGAGACGAGACTTCTTTCAGCACCACAGCCTGGTCCACAGCTGCAAAGAAAAATCAAAAGATAGAGGATAAACATATTTTTTACTTTTTAATATGAATTATGCACATTATTTGCACAGATCCTAATTTCTTAAGCTCTATTACTCAGAGGAACCGGGACATTTTAAAATACACCAAACAATTTATTATCTGTTCTTCAAAACACTTTCCCTTTATTTTCTATAAATGTTCAGAATCTATTTGAATACACTCTCTTGGTGTGATTGTTTTGATGTCACCTGTTGACATGAGACTTTGAAACGTAATTCGTGAATTCTCTAAACATCTCTAAAAAGTGGTCTACGTCAGCACCGTGAAACAAAGGAAGTCCTGATGTTAACTTAAAAAAAGTCCATATGACTATGACTTTTCAGCACAGATGGGCTGATATTTGGTCAAATGTTCTATCTTCTCAAAGGTTCCGTAAATTGCCCAGTGATAAAAATAATAATAATTACAAAACTGGAAATATAACCCTTAAAAATGTGTAAAACGGTCTGATTTAATTCACGCATTAAAATGAACACAAACGTTTGGAACAAACACTGATGTTGTTTCTGTTTTAATGTTCTAAAACTTTGTTGGAAAGGTTTCCCTCCGCTCCGCCGCTCACCTCACTGACACACTGAGATAGAAAAGAAAACAACTCACCACTGACTGTTTGTTTAGTGCTTCAAGTGGCACGCGTCCGGCGCGCGCAATGCACTGGCACCGGGGCAGGAGCCCAAGGTGAATCCACGCGACCGGAGGGCGTGGCCAGTCCCACATCCAGACGCATTGAAAAGCAGTGGCGTCTCTCCTCGAGGACTCAGAGAAGCTTTGAGGAGTGCGCGAGGCATCATCCCAGAGGACTGCCCCCACAGAAACAAGCACACGTCAACACGTGAACGGCACGAGCGGGACGCACCTCCTCAAGACTTGCTGAATCTTTTTTATTTATGTTTTTACTGGGAATGGACTACACAGCCAAGATGGAGATTAACATGAGCCAGCAGCAGCTGATGCCGCCTGCCTGCTTCTTCTCCTCCGCGCAGAGCGTCCCTCTGAGCCCGAGCGGCAGCAGCAGCAGCAGCAGCGGGAAGTCAGGCTCCAAGCAGCCCAAGAGGCAGCGCTCATCCTCCCCGGAGCTGCTGCGGTGCAAGCGGAGACTGAACTTCGCGGGGTTTGGCTACAGTCTGCCGCCGCAGCAGCCGCACGCTGTAGCACGGAGGAACGAGAGGGAGCGTAACCGGGTGAAGCTGGTCAACAACGGGTTCGCTACTCTGCGCGAGCACGTCCCCAACGGAGCCGCCAACAAGAAGATGAGCAAAGTGGAGACGCTGCGCTCAGCCGTGGAGTACATCCGGGCACTGCAGCAGCTGCTGGATGAACACGACGCGGTGAGCGCAGCCTTTCAGTCCGGCGTCCTGTCGCCCGCCATGTCGCAGGGATACACCGCTGACATGAACTCTATGGCAGGTTCACCGGTGTCCTCGTACTCATCGGACGAGGGCTCATACGACGCCCTCAGTCCGGAGGAGCAGGAGCTGCTAGACTTCACCAACTGGTTCTGAGCATCTATAATAGGTAAGACAAGTTCATATCAGAATTGATAACATAGCCTACATGATTATAGATGATTCAAGATAACAGTCCTGAACAGTGCATTAACCTTTCCTTCCTCTCCTCAGATTTATAGATCTACTCACTTTACTGTGGAGGTGCGCTTGGGATGGTCCCGGAGGAGGCAGGCTGTCCCCATGAACAAGACGCACTGTAAACGTGTTTTCGTCCCGGGTTACCCCCGGCTCTCCCTGACAAACACGGCCTTAAAGTCCTAAAAACTCTGTGGAAATCAGGCCGGAGATCAGCGCCAAAGGATTAAAGGAAGAAGGGTCTCCTGACAGCGTGGGAATCCAAGCTTCTGTGCCCATGATAAACAAAAAAGTGAAATCATGCTCTTCACATTAAAGACATTATTTAATACGTGGCTCTTTAACTATGCTAAATCCAATCACAGAACTCCAACCCTTTGGTAAACCTCGCAGACGTTTCAATTCAGAAAAAGCTTCCAAGTCGAGGATTTATTCTATAAATGTCTATATCAAACGCTTTTTTGAAATATATTAAGATATTTTTGTATGTAAGAGATTTATAGATGTTTTGTACACATCCTTTTGTATATATTTTGTCTATATATTACGAAGTTGCTTCTATACCTCCTGCCTATAGACGTGTAGTCTATTATTCTCTGGCTCTTCTGTTCATGAGGTTTCCAGAAGGAGTTTGACACTCCGAAGTTTTATTCTAGCACCAATGTGTCTTATTTAATAGCAAAACCATGTTATTGCATTATGTTATGAAGTTCACAATGATCAAAACGTATGCAGCTATTGTCCAAACCGAGCGCGATGGCCATGCATTGTCTCTTTA